TTTTGTTCTTAAAAACGTTAAAAATGTACTAAATGTGGGGTTTTATCTGAGGTTTTAATTTGAATCCAGAAAGATGTTGGCAAACATCTACAAAGAATGAGATAGTAAACATCCTGGGCTTTTAGGGCCTTTCGCTCTAGTCATCACTCTTCAATTCTATTGTTATTGCATACAACAGTACTAAAAACTGTCTATAGTCATATGCCAATAAAGCTTGGGATATGGAGAACCGGAATATGGCTCACCTGAGTAGAGATATGCCTCAAATATAATACATATTTAATACAGCATCTATTTAAGTATAACAAAGTGTTTCAATAATTCTTCCAGATTGGTGATACTGAAATAATACATTTGACTTAATGGGTTAAATAAAACATTTAAATTGATTTCACTCATTTCTTTTTATTTTTTAAAATGTGACTACTAAAATACTTAAAACTATGTATGTCGCTTGCTTTGTATTAGTCAATATAAACCAATATAGTCACAAGACAGTATATCTAACAGACTCAACCTCTTTTCCAGAATACCAATAACATACTTTATCAATTATCAGTGTGCCTATTCAAATTTACTATATATCTTAATTCCTTTCTAACTCTAGTACTATCATTTTTACCTAAGAGTTAAAAATCAAACGTTGTCCCTTCTTATGTAATTCATATCCACTAGTTTATTTTGTTACCTCATTTGGTTTACATTTTCTTTTCTACATACTTGGTCTAAACTTTTTCCTTTGAATTATTAAGTATTCTGTTACCAAGAAAGGTAACATTAAATCATCACCTTCCATTACCATAAAAAAGATAGGACTTTATTCTTGTCTCTATTCATGACCCTGATGATTCAATACAAAGCTGCTAGACTAAAATTCCTAAATATTGTGAACGCCTACTTTATATTTTAAAATTTCAATGAGCCCCATTACAGACAAAGCAATATCCAAACAATTTGGTCTAGCTCGAGGCCTTCTAAATCTCATTGCTAATTTCTGTTCTGAATCTTACCTCTTTTCTACCATTCAAGTCATATACAGGATTACATATACAAGGCTGTTCAGTTAAATCTGAATTTCAGATAAACAATTTTCAGTATATAAATTTTAGCATATTGTTCAGAATATACTTATACTAGTATGTATTATGGGAAGTAGAAATTTAACTAGGCACCTTGATTTTATTTACTAAATCTGGAAACCCAAGTCAAACAAGTCAATATATTTATATATTTTTTACTAGTATATACTTATACTAGTCAGTATTATGGGAAGTTGAAACTAGGCACCTTGATTTTATTTACTGTATCTGGCAACTCAAGTCAAACAAGTCAGTAATGTATCTTCCAAATACTAGATATATATTACTAACCCTTGCACCTTTGTTTACACATTTTGAACAATAGATATAGTACACTTAAAATAGTGCCTAGTCATAAAAAGCATGCAATAAATAGTAATACTCTCATCTCTCTAATTGTGAGGATTCAACTCAGTTCTCACTGGGTCTTGTCTAGGTCACACCAGCCCACAATCTCTCCTCTCTCTCACTTGATTGAGCACTTTATTACTTATTTTGACATTTCATGTGAATGTCTTAATTGTCTTTAAATTTCTACCTCATACAGAAATTGTGGACAAAATAGGATTTTTAAGTAAGGCATTTTGCCAAAATCAGCCTTCATCCTTAAATCCCAGGTTATTCTCCAAAGTACAGGATTAAAGCACTCTAGCTGACCTGAGACTCTAGGATTCTATTAACAGGTGAGACTCTAGGATTCTATTGTACAGGTATGTGCAAAACAGGACTAACTTATCAAACAACACCTGGAATAACTATAGTTATGAATTTATCATGTAGACACAATAGAAATTGTGTGTTCTAAATTTTGTTAAAACTTATTTCTTAAACCAAAAGACAATATACACATAAGCATGTAATTAGCCTGTTTAAAGTTTTAACTTGCCTTGTTTTTCACAATGACCTCTAAAATTCACAATTATCAAGTAGCAACATGTGATTTTTATATACAAAAAATTCTCAAGCAGGGCCTACTACCACTATCCTGAAAACTCATTCTATACAGGGATTCAAAATCTATTGATAATCAAATAAGAAAATTATCATTATATTACTTAAAGTAAGCATTTTACAGGCAACCATATACGCAAGAACTAACTGTGCATATTATTAATCACTTGTTCACCTCAGTAACATAGTACCGAATGCCAACCTGAATTAAGTCTGGCTCTACCACAATTAACTATGCCTCTGTAAGCCTGTTTTCTCAATTATAAAATGGGATTCCTTTCTCCCAAGATTGTGAAGATTAAGGGAATTGTCACACATGAGATGGTTGGTACTGACAGGTGTGAGACATTTAAAAAAAGCTATTTACCAATTTGATCTCTGCAGGCCTTATTCCAACCTACTCTTAGAAATAAAACATGGAGAAAAAGCAATTGGATTGTCACATTAGAATAAACTTCAAAGATCCAAATGTCTGCTTCTATAACTCCCTTAACATGTTTGCTTTATTTCTTTCATATGCTGTGACCTCTCAGGCCAATCTGTTCAGATGTAATAGGAAACATCTGCATGGTAATGACCAACCAATTTTACATAGTTCTGTGAACTACCAATATTTTTACTTTTTAAAACAAATTTTTTAAATATCCTCTATAAAACTTACTTCTATAATCCCTGCTAAATTATTTTTAGTTTTTTTGTTTCAGTAGTATTTGAACATCCTATTAGAAAAAGTACATGAAATTTAAGAATAATTCATGTGTGAAGTAAATTATTTTTCCCAGTTTATACTGATTACAGGGATAGTCCTAAGATAAACCTATTATCATATAGCATATTAATTTCCAAGTCAATAATATACTTCCTCTTACAAAGTTTTGAAATTTTGGACTCAGGATATGACTATAGTTATAACAACTGTATAAAAGCTATAGTTCAGTGATGTCATCTGAAACTTCCCAAACTAATTTAGGTTATTAGAAGGGCACTTCAATAGACACACATTTAACTTATTATATCCAAAGACATTACAACTCCCATAAAAAATAAGGGAAATACTTAAAATCATTCACAAAATGTTAAAGAATGCTAAAATTGAATGCCAAACTGAAAAAACTAATTTCACACATTTGCTTATTTGGGGGTGGGGTAGTTCAGGTTAGACCACTCACTAACAAATCTGAAGGATCATCAAATATTCAATTGTGATAAATTCTATGTTTCCTAAAGTTTTAATTAGACTTGTTCAATTAACAATATTCTTTTAAACTAGAATTTCCCGTATATTTTGGTTCTATTTTAAAATTTGGGTTTTATACCTGGGGTCAACAAACACTTTAAAGTGCCAGTAGTAAATATTTTAGGCTTTTCAAACTAAATACCATCTTTGCCACAGATTCACATTTGTTTTTCTCATAAAATCCTTAAAAATCTTTTTAGAATGTCAAAACCACGCCTTGCTCAGTCACAGCCAGATTTGCCCTTGGTCATGGTTCCTCCATCCTTGCTCTACACCATACATATTATCATCTTGTTACTATGTTAATTCTGATTAACTTTTTCCCTTCAAATATTTACTCAAAAGTCACCTTCTCAATGAACACCTTCCTAGCCATCCCCCTATAACATACTATGAATACACAGCACCTAACATATTTTTATCATTTGATCATTGTCCTCTCTCCTCTCTCACCCACATAAATTCCATGAAAGCAAATATTAACACATTAAAGGGGAATAAAGTTTCAAAATTAAATTTCATACTGCCCCACAAAGTTAGGTTAGTTCTTAAACACTAATTTTCTAGCAGCTTATCATTAGCGTAATTCAATTGTCATTCCTAAACCCCTCTAAACCCATTTCTGCCTCTTTGGTCTCACCTTTTTGTATTCCTGCCCTTTCAACTCACCAATCTACTCTGGCAACTTTAAAGTTTAACCAAGAAGGGAAAAGTTAAGTACTGTGCCTCTTTTAGGGCTTCACCTCCACAAATTCCCTTTTTACCAAAATCCCTTCTTATGGTATTCTTTTCCTAGATTGTCTTTACCATTCAGTATTAAGAAAGCAAGATTCTACTGAATGTCATACTCCCATAACACAATGCCCAGTGATTACACGATTATTTTCAAATGCTATGTAGTTTTACAGTTTTTACCTATAAAAGATTTGCCTCACCATATAACACTCTCACACACACACACACACAGCATGATCTTAAGGAAATAACTTTAGGGATTTAGCAAGCAACATCACTATTCAAACTGTGGCTACATTTCCAAACTTGTACCAAAACATAAAAACCCACCAAAGAGTAAGATATTTTCTCTTGCTATAACTGATAAATTGACTCCTGATAGCCATTAATAAATCACATTATCAAATATATTGATCACAAAAAGATCACATTAAGATATTCTAAGATCAAAGCCACAAAAATTGTTGATACCAGGGGGAAAGTGTTTTAAAAACCTTTTATCCAACAAGTTATCCTTCATCTTAGTTTACTTTCTAAACAGCTAGTTTGTCTTTCTAATCATTCAAGCAAATTTGACTTCTAAAAGACAAACTTTTAAAACTCCAAGTCAGTTGTCAAAGGTTAAGATGACTCTGTAAGGGCCAATTCTTTCTAGATACATTCTGTACTCCTAAAATTGCTAACATTGTGATTTGGGGGGAAAAAAAAAAAACAAAATGAAAACTGCCATAAATCTTCAAATTATTTTCAACTGCTTTGTGTCCTAATTATAAAACCAGATTGTTTGGAGGAACTACAAACAGGGAAAAAACTCCTTGTTTTTAGTCCTCCTTTTTAGTCAACACTAAAAAAGCAAACTGATTCTTTTTTATTCTTCTAAATGCTCTAACTCCCGCATAAAGTCACTTTATACCATATATCTCTGGAGAATAACATGGCCCAAGACACCACACATTCCACTTAATCTAGTTCAAACGAGTAACATACGTGAGAAGCTGCACTGTGTAATTCCTTTATTTTCTGCATATTAGTGCTTTACCAACACTACAACCATAAAGAACACAATTCCAAGTACTGTACTTTTTAGTTTGGGGAGATCACAGTCTACAGACTCATTTACTTATATTAGACAAGATTTAACCCCATTCAAAACTTACTGCAGTTTATAAATTCACATAAATACAGAAATTGATGCAATTAAACAAAAACTCAAATCTTTTTTTTTTTTAATTCTTAGATTATAACTTCTTCTGCAGGCTATAATTAGCTGCCCCAGGATCACCAATGTTATGGTTCAATTTAAACTACATCAATTATCAAACTTTAATATTGTTAAAGAAAATATAGTAAAATTACAATTTCTTGCCAAAAGTTTAGGGTGTTCCAAATTTCAAGTATTTGCTTTTCCCTCCCCCGTTTTTGTTAGACATTTCAAAATAACTAAAAATAACACCTCACCTGCAACATTCAAAGCAATTCACTGTATAAAATTTTAACTATGCCCCCCAGTTACTTTAAGACACACAAAAAATGGCTGTCTACCAATCTGTCACAAGTTAGAAATAATACATTTAAGAATATGAGGGTTCAAGTTTCCTCCAGTTTAGGCATTTATACCTTTGTGCTTGTCTTATTTCAGGATGTTACTATAGCATTGATATTTTTGTTTATGTACCTTAAAATGTAATCATTAAAACACTAAGAATTAAACTTACAGTGGAGCTTTGGGAATTTTAAAAGCAACTAAATAAAATGTTCTTACATGGTCTGTCAGCTTCATTTCTAGAGACAGTTCTACTAAAGTGAAACTGAGAATTTTATACTTCAGTTGCATTTTACATTAAAAAATCCCTCTGCACCAACAGGAGCCTACAACATAGCACCTTTTCTCATCTGCTGTAAATAAAACGCTTGCCAAGAGTTTTACTTTGATTAATTTTTCATAGCCTTATTCTTTTCATACATCTTTGGTAAAAGCTCCATTATACAATATGGCCAAAGCACGAAGGACCAGTACTGTCCAACTATATACCATGATAGCCCGCTCAATTTTAAATTTTCAGACACCCTCATAAACAAAGCCCACTCCACCTTTTATTGTCTACTGCCTCTGCAGTCTGCTTTTCTGAAATTCCCTAAGTTTAATTCCTTGAGGATCTCTAAAATTAATCCTTAAGGCTACATAGAAACCAGATGCTGCTTCAAATTCATCTCAAGCATTAACATTTGGCTCTAAGTATTATCATAGTGGTCTTAATAAGCTAGTTTCTGGCCCTAACCAGTTAAGCAAGTTATCTTGTTAGGCCCTAAGTATCACCAGTGAGCACACTGCTTACCCTTGAAGTTAAGCGTACATTCATCGTCATCTGTAGGTTCTTTCTCTTCATCCTATTTCCCCTACTATTGTCATTCCTCAAGTCTACACATCACTCATTTTTCCTACTGTAAAGGAGATAGCATAGTACTGAACCAACAGAGTAACTGACTACTTGCATGAGTTAATCCTACAATCAAACAGAATACCTTTTTTAAAAAACATCTTTTCCAGTGTTCTAATTAATGGAGATGTGGATCATTCATCTATTAAAAAAATCAGTTGCTGTAAAGTAAAAATAGGAATGTGTATTTTCCCAACTAGGTAAAAGGTGCTATAATTTGAATTAAATGCTTTATTAATATTAACAGAATAAACATCCTAATAATGTTTAAATGATTGGTCTCAATCAAAACATGGCAAAGGTAAATATTCCAGTTTTGCCCAAAAGTCACTTAAAATATCTACAAATATTTCATCTGTGTGTGGCGTACACCATTATTGCTCTATTTTCTGCGGAGTCTATTTAGTTATAAACGAGGGAAAACACAGCAAAGTTGCTAACTCTGCAGTGACCCAAAAAAATCAGTGCCCTCCCTTGACAGATTGCATTACCTTTATACTGTTGTAAGTTAACTATGTAATGGGGAACTTGAGTTATCCCTACTCATGCAAGATGTATGTTTCAGAACTTAATAGCTGACATTACCAAGAACTTCTTACATTACCTGTTTTAACATACTGATGTGCAACTGGAACATATTACAGTATTATCCATTATTTGCCAAGTATTGGCAAAGTTTAATATACTGGTCTTAGATATAAAAGGTCACATCTGAATTTACTAATTTAAAGTCAGAACTCATAAAAGGGGGGGGGAAGGCCTTAAATATAAAAGACAAACGGCAGTTTGATTAAGCAATAATTTTCAGTTTACTAGATGAAACAGACCTGCAACATAGTCTGCATGAATGCAAAATAAGCCATCTACAGCAAGTGATAAGGAAAGTGGGCAAAAAGGAAAAAAGCATACATTGGAAAAAAAGATTCTCTTGAAGTTAAAAAATCAAACCATTATTATAAAGGACTTTACCAAGAACTGCTATATTTCCCCCATCCCATTTGCTGGAAGTCAACAAAATGTGCACCTAGCACTTTGTATTCATGTCAAAGGTCATATCAGAACATCCTAACGAAAGGCGGAAAAAAAAAGAAAGAAAACCCCTCGCCCCCCCTCCCCCAAACGTAGAACAGTAACTACCGAGTTCAAATTCAAAAGAAGAAAAAGTGGCAATTGAAAGAGGTGATGGTGGCGATAATCCTATGAATGGGTTTTTGATTTCTCTCCTTCCTGGGGGTGGATGGAGAATGCTCATTAGGATTTGTAGTTAGAGGTTAACCATGTGAGCCCCTCATAGAGTCCGTCCCCTGAGGTGGCACAGGAGGGCTGCACATACCAGTTCCTGTCCCGAATCCGGGTCAGGCCCAGTTTCTCCTGGATCTCGTGGGGTTTCATGGCATCGGGCAGGTCCTGCTTGTTGGCGAAGATGAGGATTATGGCGTCCCTCATCTCCCGGTCATTGATAATGCGGTGCAGTTCCTGGCGGGCCTCGTCTATGCGGTCGCGGTCGGCGCAGTCCACTACGAAGATCAGCCCCTGGGTCCCGGTATAGTAATGCCGCCAGAGCGGCCGGATCTTGTCCTGGCCGCCCACATCCCACACGTTGAATTTGACGTTTTTGTAAGTCACCGTCTCCACGTTGAAACCTACGGTGGGGATGGTGGTCACCGACTGGCCCAGCTTCAACTTGTACAGAATTGTTGTCTTGCCGGCCGCGTCCAGGCCCAACATGAGAATTCGCATTTCCTTGTTCCCGAAGATCTTGGATAGCACCTTCCCCATCGCGTCGGAAGAGCCGGGGCCGGGGGCATTCAGGTGTCCCGGGTCCCCTCAAGCCAACGCCGCCGCCGCCGCGAAACCGAAACGGAGCCTCCCAGCCGCGAGGGCGCCCGTGCGGCCTGCGTGGGAGTTGCCTCCTAAGGGCAGAGGCCCAGACGGTCGCTCACTCGGGCATCAACAACCTCCAAACTTGCCTCCTCCAGTCGCCACTGCCGCCGGGGCCCTGAGTCTGCGCCGGCAGAGCCGCCGCCCTCCTGAGGCGCGGCTCGGCCCGGAACTGCCCTTCCCCCCGCAGCCGCCGCGCGAGCGCCGCCGCGGCTCCCACTCTGCCTTCTCCGCACTCCCTCCGCCGCGGAGGCTGCGGCCCTCCAGCCCGCGAGCACCAGGCTCACCACCAACCCCGGCCACCGAGAGGGAGCGCGGCTCCGGCACCTCGTCAGGTCATTGATCCTCGCGGGAACTCGGTGCGCCGCCTGCGGAGACACAGAGGGAAAGAGGAGAGTTACTGCCGGAGCCCCGGAGGGCCGCGGAGGCTGCGCTGACCCGCTTCCCGGTTCGGCGCGAGAAGTTACCTCCAGCCGCCGCCCCGAGCGCGGGCTCCCTCCGGCCTCCACCTCCTCCTCCCAGCTCTGCCGCCGCCGCCGCCGGAAAAGGCGCCGAGGAAACGGCCTCACTTCCCCTCCCGACCACGCAGGCGCAGCAGAACCGACCGTTCCGACCAGAGCGACCTCCGTAAGGAGAGAGGCCCGCGCGCCTAGCGTCATGGGCGCCACGCTAGGGGGCGGGGCTACGGCGGCTCGCAGGGCTCGCAGGGCTCGCAGGTGCAGCTGGCCCCCAGCCCCGAGATTCTGAGGCTCTGACCCGCGCCCACCTGTCGCTACTCCAGCGCCACTTTCTCTATGTTCCTCTTCCGCGCTCTTTTCTCCAGCCCCACACGAGTGACAAGAGCAGATCCTCTAGGAGCGCAAGGTCGCGGCCCTCGGGCAACCGGCTCCCACGAGAAATGCCTCCCTCATGCTGTTTCCGGGAGGGATCCCAGTCCTCGGTGCCCGCGCGAGACGCCGCAAGACCCTGCCGTCTGCCCCGGCGGCGCGCGTCCGACCAGTCCCCGGGAAGCCTTGAGCTGGTTTTCCCTTTCGCCGTCCTCTGACTTCCCTTATTCCTCCTGTTCTGTGTGTTTCCTGGAAGACACGTGGGAGGCCGGTGTTTTATGTAGAACCTGCCAGTCACTGTGGCGCTTTTACGAGCTCTGGGTTTGCTCCGAAACCCTTTTGAGCTTGAGACACGTCTCAGTACATCTCGTCGAGACCAGCCCACGTTTCTTGGAAATTAGCAATATCTAGATTTCCCTGCCTGGATGCGTTTTCAACTTTTTTAGAAGGCCGTAGCTTTTCATATTTAAATACCACTTTTAGTTTGATTAGTACTAGTTTTCACCTATCCACCCATAAAAAAAACTTGGCCGGTTTGATAGTAACATAATATTTAGAATCAGAAAGGCCGTTTCCGTAGCCCGGATGAGACATTTAGCCTTGAGAAATTACAGACCTTGGTCTCACAGCTCTAACAAAGAGGTGGAGGATTTCAGTATACCTTTTCTACCAGACGGTTAGATAAATTAATTAAGGTGAAACCTTAGACTAAAGAAAAGGAAAAACAAGAAATAGGAAGAAACATGCTATAACAACATATGATAACATACTTTTTATTTCACAATTTAGGAATATTTAATGACAGATAGGCTTCTAAGTGTCAGCCTGAAATAGGCTTATTAAAGGATTAATTTACATCTGCCTTGTTATACACTCATAAAACTGAAGATTTGTAGTCAATAGGTTGAAGTTCAATATGTGTCTCCATTTTACAAAATGTGAATCCTTAAGTGTCAACCTTTGTAATCTTCATCTTCTTAACCTGTAAAATTAGATGAAGACATCACTAATGAAAAATAGTCACGATTTGTTTGTTATGCAAACATTACTAAATACTTTAAATATTTTAATCTGCATACTAGTGATATGAGGTAGCTTTGAGTATGAGGAAACGGTGGTCTCATAGGTTGATTTTTGAAGGTCACAGAGATGAGATTAAATCATAAAGGTACAGTTCATCCTCTTAACCCCAAAATTATGCTGGCTCCCTGACTACCTCTCACATTATTTTGAAGTTCAATTACAGTATTTTTTTAAGTGCCATGTAACTATAAAGTGCCATAGTAATTATTCAGTTCTACTTGAGGAACTTTTATATATGTGGCAAATAAAGGCAAGTTGTATTTTCTTCCACATGATAGTTTTCTCATTCCAGTTTTTCTAAGTAGGATATAGATCTGCTGGACTTGAATTAAACTTTAATAGGAATGATATAATTAAACACAAGCAACTTGAAACACTGGCATGCACCTGGAACTGGAACTATACCGGGACTCAACAGTTTATTTTTGAAAGTCATCTTCCATTTATATTCCCCTAGAACACAAGCTTCATGAAACAGGGGCTTTGTTTTGTCAACAAAGGTATCAGGTATCCGGAGTTCAGTCATTTACTTAAATGAATAATACCTTTTATACCACAAATAAGACAAAGCAAAAATGGTACATATTTATCTGGGAGTTTGAAATAAGAAGTTAATCCCCAAGCTTTTCATACAATGTCATATCTCAAGAGTATTGGATGTCTAAAGTGACTGATAGTACAATAAGTTATATAATTATTTTAAATAAAAATCATAAACTTTAAAAAAGGCCAGAAAGTAAAAACATTGAGAAAAATTTGTACAAGTTATATTGGAAATAAAAAATAAGTAAATTTCAAAAAAAACCCCAAATATCAGCAAAAGGTAATAATTTAGGCAGCTATTAAGTCATTCCACTGATGAAACATTTTTGTTTTCTTGATACCTTTTCAAAACTTAATTCAAATAGCAATTTCTATTTTAAAAATAGTGAAATATTTTCAGATAAACTAAATTTTGCTTCAATGACAGACAGTATTACATCTCCAAGTTTGCTCTCTGTTTGACAGTTTAAAATTTTAGACATAAGTGAAAGTTCCAAAAACTATAGAAAAATTATCTCTGCTTTTTAACTCAAAGCTGCAAATAAGGAGATTTTTTTCAAACTTATTTATAAACCAACTTCCCTTTTAGAGACATTTCATAATTTTTAAATTGGTGAACAACTACATAAAATATTCCTAATTAAAAGAGATTTACTCATTTTTAAAAAGACTTTTGCTTTTAAAATGAACATATCTTTTTAATAATAGCACTGTTTATCCTTATTTCTTGAATTTCTATAGTTCTTAAACTTCATTCTGTATGGTTCTAGCATATATTCTTTTTATTAATGGAGGGTCAATGACAATTCTGACCACATACCTGTTTGAGGAAGAAGAGGTCATCCCATTAATGGCTTCATTTTGAGTCCTTAGTCCAGACTTACCAGAATTGAGGAAATAGAGGCAACTGTTGTATTTTCTTCAAGTTTAACAAAGTCGTAGAGTCCCAGGAAATCTATTGTCACTAGAAATATAGAATAAATAGGAGCTATAATATTTTTAGAAAAAAATTACTAATCCTTTCCAACTGAAACTAATTAAGGCAGGAGAATTAGTTATACTTACATGAAACCCCTAAGAGAGGTTTCACATCCTTTTCATTTTTATGCCCTAGTCTCTAGCATAGTATTCTAGTATGTAGTAAAATAAAGTTTCACTATCATTTTTGTTAGTACAGTGAAGATTAAAACTCAAAAATAAACAATTCAGTGAAACAAATCATTTTCACTTGTAAGTATTCTTGGTAACTTTAAGCAATGCAAATATTCTTTTTTTT